TTTTACCCACCTTACTCCACTGTCAAACAGGGCTTAGTGTTTTTAGTAATAACAACAGTTTACTTTTGGATGAAACAGTCTGAAGATTTAAAAAAAGATTATCACTGAAAGAATCCAATAAAACAACTGCTTAAGATAAACCTCTGCTTGCTGAAACAAAATTCTTTTGTGGAGAATATCTTGAACCATGAGTACAAGAGAGCATGATATTGAAAACATTTAACAACCAAAATGGCACCAGCACTGACCAATTAGAATGGCCATTGTGCTACAGCCAAGTCCTGGAGGCCTCTGCTGGGCCAGTATTCACCCTGTGCTTGCTCATGGAACTGTAGAATTAATTGAAATACAGAGATCCATGAGCTTTTCATCTCTAAATAAGCAAAATCATTTTGGATAACAAAGAGAAAAAAAAGACGAATTTTTCAAAGTGACTCATTATGTTATGGAACTCGAAATGTGCACTAAAAATAAAAAGCATCTGCATGCACATCTGTTCATGGAAACACAGTGTGAAATTATCTGACACAAGCCAAATGGGAGATTATTGTCTGAAAAGACTTTTGGAGTGCAATAGGCAAGTAAACGGAGTGATCTGAGATTATAAACCAGTCGTAAGAGGGGGAATGCAATGTGAAGTGACACAAACCAATAAAATCAATAAAACAAATCAACCACTTTACATCAACAGATAGATTATCAGGAAAGGGGTCAGACACAGATTTGGAAGTATGAATGGACACAGAACCTTTGATCTTTACTAGGATATCTGTGATTTGTAAAAATTTGCAAAAGCATTGCCAATTAAGATATATTTGAAAATGTTAATAAGAAGTGTCTTTCTTAACTAAGCCATAGCAGTCTTGTTAATCTTGTCTCTGGGTTGTAACAAAGGAATGAAACAGTTTGTTTCCTTAAAGATACTCATCTATCAATACATATGATTTTATTATTTTCTCATAGCCTTACTTAAAATTTCGTGTTGATTTTTTTGTCTTTGTAACTGAAGCTCAGCTCTTCCCTCTTTATAATCCCTCATACCCAATCAATACAGTTCTGCAGATTTAACCTCTTAAATATTTATTTAATCACTTTTCCCATCCATCCCTTCTATCCATACCTTAATTCAGGCCTCCATTAATGCAGCAGTGTATCGATTGGTCTAACTGCGTCCATTTCATTCCCCTCAGCTCCATCTTCTACAAAACCAGAGTGATGCAGCAAAAGCACAAACTCGCTCATGTCATTTCCCTGCTTAAAATCTTTTCTTGATTCCCTGTTACTCATAACGTGAAACCCAAGCTCGTTATTCTGGCAGACAAAACCTCCAAGATTTGACTCGCCCAATGTTCCAGCCTGACTTTTTTACACTCCATCATTCGCTACATAATAAAAAGAGCTAACATCTATATCAGTCTTACTACATGCCAGGCACAATTCTAAGTGCTTCACAGATAGTAACGTTGATCTTCAAAACAATACTGTGAAGTAGGTGTTATTGTTATTCCATTTTACAGATGAAGAAACAGGCACAAAGAGGTTAACTGATGTGCTGAAAGTGCATAGAATCAGCAAATAACAGAGCTAGGATTGAAACCCAGGTAGTCTGGACCCAGAGTCTGTGTTATGCTCTCTGTGGCACTAAGCCACTTGTAGTGAATAAGTACAGGTATTGTTTTCTGCTTTTATGACTTTATTCACATGATTTCCTTTATCTGAAACATAATTCCTCCCCACCATTCCCCTACTCCCTACAATCTCTGACTTTCACCCCTGATTGGATTCTTCCTCACACTGGGTATCTCCTCTTCCAGGAGACTTTCCAGGCTCCCTCCTTTACACGCAGGTTGGGTGGGCCCCTTCTCTGCTCTCCCACTTGTACGTACACTCTTCAGTGCCCTCGGCATGTGCTTTATAATGATCTGTAGGTGTCTGGCGCTTCCACTCGATTGTGAGCTCCCTGGGTTGTCTCGCAGAATATCTAACCCATGTAGGTGCTCAATAAAGATTTTTTGAATAAGTGAAACAACAAACAAATGAAAGCACTGAATCAGGATGGTGCTAGAAGTACCAGTTGTTCATTAAAACTCTGTCCCAGTTCAAACCTTGAGCCTGACAACCAAAGTTCCCGAATTCCTGTTAGGGAATTTATATTCAATTTCTATTAAAATGTGCATCGTTTTAACAAGTATCTGTGTCTTCATTTAGAATTCATTTAATTAGAGATTTCGAGGTAAAAATTCGACTCAATGTGTACAATCCCACAACATTTTACATTTAAAATGGTATTAGAGATTATGCAAACATAATACCCACATATTTCATTATCTTATTAATAATTTAAATTGCCTTACAGATCAATTCAACTATCGCTATTATCAATGAGTGGAGCCAAACTATTTCTTAAACATTTCTAAGAAATAGGGCAACCGCTATCTTAATAAGTTACAAAAGAATATTTAGATGTAATATTCCTGGAGTTGATTTAAAAAAGGGTATTTGATTTACACTTTAAATCTAAACCAAAAAAGAAATCGCCCCAGCGATAGACTGATGGGCATGTCACTCCAATGAATAAAACAAAAACAACCCCCTTGATACAGAAATGAAACATATTATAAAATCAGTAACTCCTGAAAACATTATAAATAAACAAAACTAGCTATTTTCATCCACGTTGTTTTTTTTCTGGTAGCTTTAGGTAATAGCAGAGGACACTTTAAAAAAAGCAACCTCTTTCCTAGTTATTACTCTTAACATAAGGAGGGCTCCTGGTTTAGCAGTCTAGTTACTTTCAGATGCAGAATATCCTTTTCTCCTTCACAACAGAGAAAAAGCCGTAGTCATCAGCCTCTGTGCTCAGCTGTCCGTATGAAGAGCCCTCACTTGCCTCAGCACTTGAGTAATGATGACTGCATTCCATACAGCTGGTGGTGAAGACAACTCAAAGAAATTGCCGGCATCAGCTCAAAATACTTTTAAAAGCGATGCAAATTGAGGTAGAGAGTAGGAGAAAAATAATCTTTTGACAAACAGCCTTATTTTGGGCTAATTTAGCCAAAGGTCTCATAGATGTGTATCTTGTTTGATGTTTCCTTTAGATTTTAAGAAAGAATACCCAGGATTTTATTGTTTCTGTGTAACATCTAATAGTATATATTATATGTCACCAATTCTCAACAGCTATTTTTCATGATGATAAATGCAGATAATACATTACATTTCTATAGTGCTTTACTGTTTAAAAAGCACTTTTACACACATTGCCAATTTATGATTATTTTGTTTTCACTGTATCAAATATTGTGACCTACTTGATCTACAAACAAGCTTATAATTTCATGTGTATTTAGGCAAAACTTGATTAATAGAGGAATAATATATGCATTTATAATGTAAATTGAAGCTCTTTGGGTTGTCATCCTCCATTCTTTTCAATGCCTAATACTTCCTGGTACACTAGCATCCTCAATGCATTTATTAATAAAGTCCCTTTCACTCATCAAGTATTAACTAAAGTGTGTTAAGGTAATACCTCTTTCAGAGCTAGATGCATTTTCAATCAGGATTTTGGATGACACAAAATCTTTAAAACTCTAAAGGAGGTAAGGAATATGTAACGGTGAATCCTAGGTGTTAAGAGTGATAGGTGGGCTGGCCTTGTTGCTTAGCGATTACGTGCACGCGCTCCACTGCTGGCGGCCCAGGTTCGGATCCGGGCCCCCACCGACGCACCGCTTCTCGGGCCATGCTGGGGCCACGTCCCACATGCAGTAACTAGAAGGATGTGCAGCTATGCCATGCAACTGTCTACTGGGGCTCTGGGGGAAAAAAATAAATAAATAAATAAATAAATAAATAAAATTATTAAAAAAAAAAAAAGAGTGATAGTAAGGGAGAAATTCAGGGACACAGCATTGTCCCAGACCTTTAAAAAGATACCACGTATTCTACCTTTGAGTCAGCTCAGAGAATATTTTTTTTCATCCATTTCTTGGCCAATTTAGTTTATGAACCATCTCAAGATCATAGCCCTGTGCTATCAAAAATCTGGTTTTCTTTTCACCACCATGATATGTACCATCTTTTAAAAAGATATTCATTTAAAAAAAAGTTTAATCATGTGTTGTTTTCATCTGTACTTATTTGGCTCTGTGGGGTTCAAAGGAGAACAGAACATTTTCTCCTAGGTAAGTAGCAACTGTGTATTTTTGGCTATAGGTTTTCTTCCTAATGTGGAATATTCAGGTCCTTAATTTGTCCTGCATTAATATGAGTCTGTTGCTATGTGCATAGGAAAGAGTTCATTTTCAGTTTCCATGAGTCCTCTTCTCTCTCTGCCTTCCCCTCACCCTAAGCCTCACCAAAAGCTTCCAGGTAGCAGGCACTCAAAGCCTTTGCCTCTTTCAAATCTACTTTCCCCACTCGATGTTGTATTTTGTCCATAGTAGGTACTATAAAAACTGTCTGTAACTGACTATTTCAGAAATTTGAAACATTAAAAGAAACTTCTTTGATTCTCAAAAAAAATTAAGTGAGGATGGTAACATTCAAGTTTCTCTAGAATAGAAGGAAAACCACTCCTGTGATTCAGGGACATTTAGGAATGCTAACTCTGGGCAAGCGATCATAGAGTAGGGTCAGTTAAAAGTCATTACAAGAAAATGACACTATGATAAGCCAAGTCTTTAATGCAAAAAAAAAAAGTTAGTCCGTAAGTTTACCAGAATTCTGGAAATCCATGAAGCAGCAGCATTAGTGGTTTGCCTCTTTCTCCAGCAGCAACATAATGAAATCTTAACCCTGAATCCTGCAGTAGAAAACAGAGAGCATGGAATTTTAGTGATGTTTTGTGCTAGTTGTCAAAGTAGCACATTTAGTATTTCCATTTCATTAAAAAAAAAAGCCTCAGTTGCATTATTTTTAATATCAAGAAATAAAATAAACATTAATTTTCAAAAAGAAAAAACTCCATGATTTATCAATAGGGTAAATTGACAGATTCACTTTTGTCAATACTCCCTTTATAGTACCTTTCTTCTCGTTCTACTTACAAGGTCAATTTTTATATTATGACCTTCTGATACAATGTCACAATTTGTGACTTTCATCTTGCTGATGTGTCACATTTCATCTCATTCAAATTCTGCAGGACATGGAAATAATTCCGATCTGAATTTATATTCCTGTCATGTTTACGCCTAGTCATGTACGTTTCTCAGCTTGCCCATCAAGAGCTGTGCCATCAGTTATATAATTCACACCTCCTTTCCTTATTTTTAGTTCTCTCCTTCCCACATTATTATTTTAAGTTGAGAGTTGTATGTACAGTTCCCCTTGCTGCCTGCTTCTCCTGTCATGTCAGTGTATTCCTAACAGCAGAATGCTCTGAGTGCATGAGACTTCACTCTGCATGCGGGAGACAAGACCGCCCAAGGAAAATAAAAAGCATGGAAGTGAGACAGGAATACAGCAAGCACGAAGCTAACCCAAGAGAGGAAAGTGGAGAAAAAGGCAAGAAAGAAAAACAAAAACTCAGAAAGAAATGAGGAAAGAAACCAAGAACCAAAAGCTGAGCACGGAGACTGGGTTTCATATCAGGTAACCCAAGCAATTGGGTTTTCAGATGTGAAAAAATCTTAAAGGTCATCTAATTCAACCCCATCATTTTTGCAGATTTAGAAACTGAGGCACAAGGATGTTAACACAGGTCATAAAGATGGCTGAGGGCAGGGCTGTGACTAGAGCCCCCATCTTGTCCTACCTCCCAGGACAATATTCTTTCCACTCCTTGGTTCTGTGTCTCTGGGGAAACTCTTTAGGTGACCAGAGTCAGCAGAAAGGAATCCCGGATGATTCTTACACTGCTTTTCCTCTTCAGGTTTGATGAAGATAAATGTGACTCTGCCCTCAATTGCAGAATCCCTTCCTGGAAGTTCAGTAACTTCTTTTATCTGTGGTGAGTCTTGGAAGATGAAATGCTGTGGGCACTTGATTGGATTTAGTGAACAAATACTTTACTGCACTTACTATGTGCCAGATACTGTTCTAAGTTTTTCATTTTATTTTGTTTTGTTTTACAAATATTAACTCATTTAATTCTCATATCAACCCCAGGCTGAATAAGGGTAAGAAGGACATACTCCTTGATCTTCTGAACTCCAGCTGCTAGGCAATCTAACTCCTAATAGGAATCCGGGGCTTGGTGACATAAATATCCCCTCATGTGAGGCTTGTTTTGAAAGGTCTGTGAGTCAGACTGTAGAGAGCATCACAGGGGCCATTTCCCTTCACCACCTGGAGCCTCAGGAAATAGAATATCCGGAGGTCGTGAGGAGGCTTGGGACAAGCATGGAGTCTGCATGCATGGTTGACATTTACTTTTCATTTCAAGCCTTTGGTCTCTGACTTCATAAGTCTGCTTCCTTCCCCACAAACATACTCCATTTATTTATTGTTTCATGCTGCCTAGGTCATCTGTGAATGCTCCAGTCTGTTGATCGGAATAAACTCCTGATATCCAATGACTTTATTTACTCCTTCAATCTCTAAAATTTGGGCAAGGACAGCCTCCTGAGACAGTAGGGCGCCAGCAGGAATAATTCTCTACAGCTTATCTGAGCTCTAAAGGGCAAAAAGGTGACAGGAGAGCAGCTTCCCCTTCCATTAGGAAACGGAGCGGAATTATTCTGGGTTGTTGTGGTGGAGGAGGAGGGGACAGTAACATAATAGGACCCTGATTAGAGAAACTCCACATAACCTTCTCTCTCTCTCTCTCTCTCTCTCTCTCTCTCTCTCTCTCTCTCTCTCTCTCACACACACACACACACACACGCGCGCGCACACGCCAAACAGGGAACGTAAAGACACACACAGTCCCGACCTCTCTCCCGCCACACCTCGCCCCTCTTGCCTCCCCTTGGCATCTTCCCGGTCCCCGCCGCGCGCCCTGCGAGCCCCGGGAACACTAGGGGACGCTGGGCCGGGCGTCAGGAAAGGAGCAGCCCGGCGCTCTCTGCTCTCACGGCCGTCACGTTCCCTCCCGAAACCGCCGGGCCCGCGCCGGCCTTCACCTTGATCCGCACGTAGCAGTGGGTACCCAACGAGGGGTCGTTCAAGCACGCGGGAGGGTGTTCCCGGGCAACCCGCCGGAAGGTCTGCGCGGGTCCCTTGCCGATGCTCCACAAAAGTTTGAGCAGGTAGATGGAGGCGCAGAGCCCGCAATAGCAGTAGACCAGGGACCAGAAGAGCAGGGACCGGATCCTGACCATCAGGCAGGGCAGGCAATCCCGCAGCCCCGCCATCGGGCGGCGGCGGCGGCCCTTCGGGGGCGCGGGGAGCAGCGGCGCTCACTCGGGCTCCGCAGCGATGCAGCGAGCGTGGCGGCGCGTCAGGCCCGCCAGCCCG